AAAGAGTGAACGAGTTCCGTGAATACTAATTTACACCTTTCTTTATTTTGGATCAACATTTTTTTTGGGATTTTGATCTTTGAGGAATTTTGTTCTTTATTAATTTATTATTCATTATTTTTTGCAAATAAAATAACGTTCTACTCAATTTATTATTCATTATTAATTTCAAGTTTCTTGGATAGTTTTATTGCGGCGTAATTTTTTTCTTCGTTTCGTTTTGGAAACAAAAACATCCACTGCAATAATAGACCAATTTGTGAATAAGCGCAAGTAACGTTCTACTTGCATTAATTTTTTGGTAGCATTTTGCAATTTTCTGGACATGAGACATGTCGTCAAAATGTAACATCTTCATCACCGAGAAAAAAAAAAACACTTTTGAAACCTTATCACCTAAGTTGCCGAGCCCCATAATTCTTTAGTATATAAAATGGTTGTGAAAAGAAAACTTTCTTTTATTTCCAATTTGGGATTTCTTATTTTTATTTTTATTATTTCTTTTGGAGTTTTAGCAACTAACAAGCACAAAGTATTATAAATGCTTTTGGAACTTTGTAAGATAATGAGTGTAACCCATCAAAATCATGAATATTAAATGAAGACTGAGATCGTAACGCTTAAACCATGGATGTAATCCTAAGTCTGAGAAATGTAGCCCATCATTTAGCACATTTTATCTTATTTGACTAATATGTCATTTATGGTTAGGAAGAAGTGTGTATCATGTGGTTATGAGATATTGTTAGGACGTTTGGTTTATAAGTTCAGAATTATTATTTATGATTTTGATTTTTAAAATTCAAATTTTTTTTAGAGAAAAACACTGTAGAATCAATAACCATAATTCAGAATTAGAGACGATTACTCTTTCGTGCAATAATAAATTCTCTGGTTGCAACGGAATATATCACAGAAAAGTGAAGGATGTGACTTGTGAGGAAAAGGCAGGAGATGGTTTGAAACATTTCCTATAGGCCATAGGGTTTTTTTTAGCAAGGTTAACAAAATTAACCTTTTATTGTATTATTAAAACTAACATTAATGGATAATTAATATTTTTCCCGGAGTGATTAGTAGCATTTATTAAGGTTTCTTCATCATTATAATTTTGGTGTATTATTTTTTTTTTACATCATCAGTATATATGTGAATGCATGGATATTTTTGATTATATAATATGTGTTGATTCATTCAATGAAAAGTTGTTAACATGAACGAAATTAATCAAAAATTTCTAGGCCTTCATTTGCCTTTTTTTTTTTTTTTTTTTTTTTTTTTTTTTTTTTTTTTTTTTTTTTGCCGAAGTTTATTATGGTTAATTTTAAGTAGAAGAAAATTGCATTGAAAGAGACGATGTATCAGAGTTGCATTATGGTTTTTTTTTTTTTTTAAACGAAATTATGCAGAAAACCATTTAAACAAACTCAACTCCGGTGCAAACTAGTTGAGTGTATTGTGGCCTAAGCCCAATTATCAACTGTTTATGCATGTTCGCCAGGCACCTAATGTAATTAGGATAGGTAGTTGTGGGAGATGGGTTTTAAAACTCAAATTTTAATTTGTTTTATTTCTTAGGTGATGTTTCGTATATGTTTGATAGTACATATAACCAAGGTATATAGTAAATATTTTATTAAAAAAATACTATATGTATTATATATATATATATATATTAAAAGTTGGGTCAAAATCGGCGTGGGCGGGAATGCGCCGGTCCATTATGGGTCTAAACAGACTGACCCAACCCAATCCACCCTAAGCCCAACCTGACTCAAGAATTTTCACAAGCCGTGCCGTGCCAACTTAGACTACTAATATTGATAGTTTAAACAATACCTTAAACAGTATCATGCAGTGCTGTGTTAGTCCAATATTGTATCAAGATCGGCTTAAGCCTGCCTACGGGCTGCGGCGGGCCGCGACCTATAATTGCATCTCTAAAAAAGTTGGTGATCTTATAATTGCAAGTTTTTAACAGTTTGAGGTTGCATTGCCAAACTTTTAGAACTAAAATCGTGGGGACCAAAATGCTAAAATTTCAAATGGCAAGTGCGGTTTCTCAATTTTAAGGAATTCTACCCTAATAAACGGGAACTTCTTTTTCCTTTTCTTTTTTTTTTTTATCCTTTATTAAGACTGAATATTTACATGCGAACGTGCGTGGTATAAACTTTTTACACGAGCTTTTGAGAGAGAAAAACAAAACAAAACAAAAAAAGAACCTTTTAGAAAATCATTTCCTCTTTTTATCTTCCTCTTTTTCAATAACAACAGGAGCTGCCGGTATACTGAACCACCACTCTCGCAATCTTCTCATCCATCTCTCTGTGCTCGCTCTCCTCGGCGGTGAATACCTTGTAAATGTCTCCAAAAACAGCAGGAGAACAATGTACCTACTCGGTACGAAGGCCAGAATCGAAGCCATTAACAGAAGAGCTACCGCGAATTTCATGCTCGCCTGATCATATTACACAAAACACTAGACAAAATAAGCACCGGAGACGGAATAATTTTTTTACCAACAGCTAAATGATAATTAACTAATTTGAGTAATAATTCTTAGGATCCGTTTAGCTCGCTGATTCGAGTTTTTAATACGAGTTTAGATGTGATTTTATGTGAGCGCTTTTTACTGTAGCAAAAAAGTTAGATGTGACTGTTTCTGAGAGCTTTTTACTGTAGCAAAACTCGAATTCCAAACTTGAATCGGTGAAATGAACGGGGCCTTAATCTTGATGAAAATCTTAGAAGCCTTCAAGTTTAAAGTCAAACATTTAGGTCTATATTCTCCATGATTTATTTATTAAACACAAAAACAAAAACAAAGACAAACAAACAAACAAACAAACAAACGGAAACTGTCAATTCAATTCAAGGACTATAATGGGAAGTCTTCACCAAAATCCAGAACTAGAAATGAAATTGTCAGCACAATTCAACCACTAAGGTATCAAGCTTTGTAAAAGTTAAAGGACAACTTAGAAACACTTTTTTAAGTGTAACTGTTGATGAAAGTTGATGCATGATAACCAACTAGATACACTAAATTGAGTTTAGGGATTTTATATCTTTTGATTTGAACGTAAAAATGTATTTTTCATCAAGATTAAGGGAGAACTAGTGAATTAACCCAAATGGCGCAGCTACATTTTGTTTAGGGTGAGTCTGACAAATGATCGCTGAACTCCAATCCAACTTTGGTTTGGTCCCTAACTTTTAAAACGTCCTAAACTTAATCCCTATCTATCTGTTTGTTTCAAGTTTAGCCCTTCCATCAATTCAATACTCGTAAGATTGAGAAGTTTTAAATGTCAGGACCAAGGTTAGATTTAGGATAATGTTCGTGTACTACTTGTAGGATTAATGCTTTAGTTTATCGAGGATGTTTCCCATTTTTTTGATCCTTGTATGCAGTTTAAGTGTTTAGGAAAAATATATAATTCAGAAACCAACAAGGAAAAAGATAAGGAATGAAAACCTGTGGGAACATGGTGAGCAATAATGCACGTAGTTTCAGAAGAACAATATTTCCATCCTGGATGAACCCTTCAGCCTGGGAAATTGCATTCTGGACAGCCAAAAGCTGTTCCATTTTGTTTGTCGGTGGAGGTGCTATCACCTTAACCACATCAACGGGGTTTCCTTGGCTAAATAATCGCGTGAGTACCATGAAGATCGCGGCGAAGATAAGAATCAATGCAAAGCTGTAGCCCAGCCATTGCCTAAAACAAACAGGGTCTAAGTTCTTAGTAAAGACGACTGCTCATGTGACAGCTGAAATAAAATACAAAATAAGAGACATGAAATATATTTATATGTTGAACCTATAACTGTTAAAAGTACTTATTCCCTTTGAATGCTTCTGTTAGGAGCTAGGCCAACATTAAATTTTGTATTCTTGAACTCTTACTGCTTTGATACCATGTTAATTTACTGGTTCTCCTAATAACTTGAGCTATTACTGTGTGGGTCAATATTAGATTTTACATATTCACAAATAACTTAATCATTGTAATTTTCGTATATATAAAAAAAAAAATCATTTTGCTATTATAAAGCTAGAAATCCAATGGAATACGTTATAAGAATTCATGGTTCATTCTATAGGTCATCTTTTACAACTACGTCAACACAAGTCACAAATTTGACCTTTTCAGTCAGCAAACATGAATGCTTCCATCCCATCACATAGAGGAACGTGAAAATGCAGCGAACAAGAATTTCAAGGACGAATTTTACCTGCAGATGATAAACGTGAAAACAGAACAGAAAACAAAAGAATGCAAAGGATCCTCCCAATATGCCAAAGAAAAAAGACACTGCCGCAATGCCAGCACTGGAAAGAATAGTTCCTGCAAGTATTCAGAAAATTTAGAAGGCGTAAGCAGAAATGCAACTTCCCATGGTTTAAGAGACAGATAACACTCCTGATTCATGGATCCTAAATATGACAAATGATTTGCTATCGTCTGAATACTTATACGTCAAGTTACTCACACTTCAAAAGGATAAAGAGACAGATAATTTCAAAAGAGTATAAGATCTTTAGTGGTCTGTTCTACTTCTACCCACTTACTGGGGTCAAGTAACCAAGTTCATTTTACAGTCTTAATAAATCCTCTGGCGAAATTATCCTTGAAAAAAGAGAAGCAAAATATGACAAAGAAAGATCGAAAAAGAAATCAATTGTAGATTACGGTTAATATGTTAAAATGCACAGGCACGTAAGTCCTTGCCTAATGTTTAGTCTACCTTCATCACCGCAAAATTTGTTTCAAATCCATCCACTTTAACTCCATCTATGGTTGCTTGTGCTACCACCACCTTCGCATAATTGTTTTTAGATTTCTTAACCGCTCGCTCAAGTGAAGTCATCTTTCCCACAGTTATATCACCAACAACAAGCCTATTCTCTGCGTGACTATTAGAACTCGATCCAAACACAAAGCCCAAGTTAGAAACCATGTCCAAGGCTGAGCTTGAATACATTCTACTTCCAGATTGAGACTTATCAGTCTGATCTGATTCCCTCAAAGTCAACATATTGCCCAGGGTTTCCAATATCAAATCCCCACCTGGAAGTTGGTCGCAAAGATTGAACATGAGAAGAGATTCACAATTTAAATGGACCACCAAACTAATATCTTGAATGGCTTGTAGTCGCACAATCCCAAGCACAGCTTTCGAAAGTGCTTCATCTCGTTCAACTCCCTTGATCTGAAACTTATTTATAAACCTATGAACGTACAATATCTCTCTAATGATTGCCAACCAATAATCACGTCGAGTATGCCCTTTGAGCTCAGGAAACTCTATTATAACTGGTTCTGATCTGCATAAGCATGCAAATAAATAAATCTGCATAAGCATGCAAATAAATAAATCTGCATAAGCAAAGCATGCAAATAAATAAATAAATAAATTAACTTGGAAGAATAATGATTAGATGAAAAAGAAATATAAATTTATGAATGCTACCAAGTAATAAACAAAAGGGGTATTTTCAATAAAAGATCCATAAATTTCTTCCTTTTAATTTTTGTACATCTTCCAACAAACCAGCTAGTCAAAACTCTTATCAAATTAGGTAAATTAATCAACTTACTCTAGTAAAAACATTGCCTAATGGATACAAAAGTAGACACAAAATTTACTGACATTTTTTAAAAGAAGGGCCAAAACAAACGTTCATCTCAAATTCCCTAAACAAAATATTTCATCAAGTGCAAGTAAAGACGTATGCAAAATAACTTACAATGAAATTGATTTATAGAATACTGCCTTATCAAAAAGTCGAGTGCCCCACGGTCCAGTCAGCTCAGGTTTAACAACCTGTTTCAGATCATCTGATAAATCATAGCACTTTGCCTTGTCAAACGACACAACACGGAGAGCTTCAAAGTAAATTGCATGGTCCGTCAGAATTAACCGTCCTGTTTAATACCAGAACAAAAGTACAAGGGAACTGATCAACATAACAGTTATGATACTATGATTCCACGTCCTTCTTCTCAGAGGGGAAAAAAACAAACTCTTAAGTACAGCCAGAAGAAATTAATGGGCAAAAACCTTAAAATAGATACAACATCCAAGCAGGGATGCATGCATCCAACATGAATCACCTTAATAGCTTGAATTATATTTGAGGAACAACAATTTAAAGAATAGATCAAAGAACCATGAAGGTTTGAATCTAATCATCGCAAAATCTCAACTATGAAAAACAATATTGTTTACTTTTCTGACAGCCAAGAAATTGTCCTATTAGTTCTTCACTAGTGTTAATAAGCTTTCTCCATACTAGGAAAAAAACATGTTCCAATACATAGCTTGTCCTTTTAGACAAATTCATTTAATTGTCACTTAATTTACAAATAAATTTTAAAAAAAAGTTAAACTACATGAACTCTTGAAAGAGGATGGCATTTAAAACCTATAAATGAAAATCTTAGCGCAAAATTTATTTAGCAATTCAAATGAGGTTGAACTAAAGATACAAAAAAACCACATACACAAAGTCCTTTAGAGAGTCGACCATTTTATGAGAAGCATTTTGTTTCCAAAAGGATCACAGAGTACTTTTCATTTGAACTAATTGGGCCTCAAATAACATACTAACATTTAATAAAGGCATATTTTTTTTATTACATGTTTTAGCTATATTTTCCAATGGGCATTTTTTAAGATACGATTACTTTATGCAAGACACAACTGAGTCATCCTTTGTTACTTTTTTTTTTTTTTACGGGATCCTTTGTTACTTTTCAAGTACTACATTTAGATACATGAAACTGCAGGCAATAGTAGATTGGTTTTTCATTAACCAACGCAAGTATCCTAAATTTTTAGCCAAAATGAAACCTACGTATCTTTAAAGTTTTTGAGAAATTAATGACTCATCAACCTACCAGGCCATGTAGAAATTCCTACATGCTCGAGAACTGGTTGAGTAGTAACTGTTCCATCTACTTCAAGAATCTTCTCTCCTTTCGATAATCGCACCACCGAAAGAAGAGATGACTCTGACTGTGTCTTCATTTTCCTTAATGCTCTGTAATATAAATAATTGGAATCAACTAGATATAAGTCTATATTTCCTAGCATAAGGAAAATGCCTTTGACAAACCTCGAAACAAAATGCATTATGACATTTAGGTTAATTTTGAGTGAACTAACACTCAACCACCAGAATAAATGACACATTTTTTTATCATAAAAACAATTTCTTAATGTTAATTAAGTTTCTCAGACATGATTGAGTAATAACAAGGCAAGAAATTATGAAGGAACCAACATGGACAATTACCTTTCCCGCTTCACTATCATTACTTCCACAAGAAATGGAAACCGGGAAAACGACCAATAAGAAATTATAACCTATTTGTCCCATTCCATCTAAATAATCTTCGTCAATTCCAGACAGAATAACAGTTTATCAATAAGGTAAGTTTCTTTATTATACATCTTAGTAAAATACAAGTTCCCTTATTATGCATGTTTGCATGTTCTTTTGAGTATGCACTTGTGCACACATGTGCATGAGAGAGAGAAAGAAAAAGACATCTTAAAACAGAAGCTTTGGGTACTCTATGCAAAAGATATCATCTTCCACATTGTTCCTTGCGACCTTGACACTCTTTCGTTGTTAAGAAAGCATAATGTCACTCTTTTTCCATAACAATGGTACTAATTTCTCTTACCCAGCTAAGATGCATCCTAACGAATATGAATCCCAAGCTGCATGTCATGCCTTTCTTTCATTTGCGAATGTATGATGGAAAAAACCAATAACCACATTACCATTTCGAAGAAGCCGGGAAAAGTTCCACTAGTTAAGTTTGTTACGATGAACCAGACAATGCGTAAAGTTGACATATTTGACGTGAGATGAAATGATAATTATATTAAACCCTTATTAACATGGAATTGATATCGCGACTATTTTACCTTTCTAGTGCATTTAGATATTTGTCGTAGATGGAGAACTGAAGCCGCCCGCCGGTTGATGCTGTAAGCACCTCAAAAAGGTTTTCACTAATGATGACATTTGCAATGATAGGAACTGCTGGAGCTATTCGAGAGAAAGCTTCTATACCAACTGATATGCACTCATCTACCTGCATACAAGATGTCATTCCAGATTAAAACTAACTACCAAGCGCTAGAGGACTCTATTCTTAAACCCAAAATTAAAAGCTTAATGTCAAAAAGCTTTGTGCAAATTAATGCAGCAGTAAGGGAAAGATGATGTTAATGCATATAAAACGATTGAAATATTTGAGGATATGAACAAACTAATGTAGCAAAAATATGCACATGACAGTCGATTTTAAACACCATCATCGCCCAATGAGGACGATAATTACTTTGAAGCATTCACTATGGAACATATATCAGATGACTTACTGTCCAAGACTAACTCTCAAAATTTTTTCTACACGTATAACTATGTAGCTTGATTTAAGAAAGCTTATGGGTACAATAAGGTTCCTCTTCAAATAAATCCATAGATTCAATCAGCACTCATAGCAGAAGTCTAAGGGAGAGCCTGCACTAAAGATAGTTACAAACTTACATGAACTGAAGGTTCACTAGGAGCAGCTGGAGCCTCCCAAGCTACCATCATGTCAAATGTCAGACGTCGAAACTTCTTATCGGCCAAATAGTCATTTACTTTTATTGACACAGCAAGAGCCCTGAAACAACAGTATTCCAAAATGTTCCTCGCATATCGTGATGGATGCTTTATAGAATCAGAAGCCTCTGAATTGAAGCTTTCTTGAAGTTCAGTAGCAGGAATTCCAAGAATTCTGCATCATTTATTTGTCATTGTAGCAAAATTATTTTCTGAAAAAAACTATCACAATTTGATGGAAGCTAAGTAGCAAGATAAGCAAATGAACTACCAAGCACCCAACAATGAAGTAGAAAGTTCTAATTAACCGTGAAACTTAGCAGACAACTTTTCATAATAATAAGGTACAAGTAAAAATGTAGAAGGTGCATACTAGTAAGCTTACTTCAAGCATCGTCGAACAACTATGTTTGCAATCACAGAGAGCTCTGATATCCAATTATTTCGGGCACAAGGAGACCTTGTCATCTCCTCATACTCCTCGTTGAAAGAACTTCGGTGGCCAAGCAACCATTTAAATGATCCTTCTCTTACCAGATTCTCGAGCATATTTCGGGTTCTGCTTGACACAGCCATCTCACTTGCAGTCGAACTATAGATTAAACCAACAAATACAGCCGTCAAAGCTGCTCTTGCATTCCCAACTTAATAAAAAGATTAAAAAAAAAGGAGCCTTTAGGTTGTTTGGATGTTTTTCAATATTGGAATTGAATCTCTAAAAAAGACAGTCAACTTTCCCACGTGGAGCTTAATCACAAATTACCTCGCAATTCATACTCAAAAAATCATGTACTTTACTATTATAGCACGCTCTATTGCCTATGCTACAACAATGGCATTCAAAACAAAATCAAACCCACTTGACACATTTTCTATCAACCCAAGTATCATATTCCTCCATCGAACTTTGAATCTTTCTCATAAAGTAATTACAGATTACCTAACACATTATCATTCAACTAACAAGTACCAAATCCGGCAGATCATTCAACAAAAGTACAAGCTACTCAAAACCCAAGTGTCAAAAGCAATAATTTCAACTCGCCACAAATCCATCCGAGAAAACTAAGCAAAATTCAGCACAAACCCAATAACAAGAACTATAAAACAAACCAGAATTCGGTAAACTCACCGGAAAAGGGCGTACTCAGAGCTGCTTCTTTCTCATCAATCTCAGCTCTATACCAAAAATCCACTTCAGATTATATGCTTTGAACCATTATCTCCAAACCCATTTCAGCAATTGGCGAAATTCGAAGGATTTATAACAAAGTCGGTTCCGTAGAGATTTTTTGCTTTATCGGGGCTTTGGGTTTAAATTGTTTGTACTATAAAAGACAAGGCAGTACTGGATAAGTTCGTATAATAATACTTTTGTATTCAAAAAGTAACAATAAATGGTTTTCAAGTGTCAAAAAGAAAAATAACAGACAAAAACAGTTCTTTTGTTTCTATCTTTAATATATTTATAGAGTGTTTAAATGTCAATTATAATTTATAATTTATTATAATATTTTTTTATAAAAAAAAATATATAAATTAAAAATAATTTTAAATTCGTGAACTAAATATTTAAAATTAATTAGTGAAACAGATTAAAATCCTTAAAGTTAACAAAATGAGTTGTTTAGAACAAAATAAAATTATGGTTTCGATTTTATTTGTGCATAGAATAGCACGGTGGTTTTTACTTGACAAGAGACAGAGGTATGGTGGGTAAGGTTTGGCCCACAGAAAGGGAAAGTGACAGGGAACTTTTCCCATGAAGTTTCGTCATTTTGAATCTTTGATTCATTATGAAGCTTTGCCCTAACATGTTAGAAAAGAATCACTGAAAACAAATAATTTATGGGTTCTAATGACGTTGTGGAATTATTTGAAACCTCACTTTAGAAAAAAAATTATTATTATTTACAACTAAATAAACATTGAAAAGGAAGAAGTTGAAGGAGAAAAAGAAAATTAGTAGTAGTAGTCACGTTGAGATAGCTGGAATCTGGAACTATTTTCCTTCAATCTTTTTCTTTCTGAATTTGATATTTTGAAAATGGAAAATGGCTCTTTTTTTATTCTTTTTTAACGGGAGGAAAATGGCATTCAATCAAATAATCAAGCGGATTATTAAAGAGTAAAAAGCAGATTATAACCTTTAATATCGTATATGGATATAAGTATTTGAATACGGACATAAGATTATTTTTCAATGCATGTCATTCTTCATTGGTCATAAAAAAAAGATTTCAAACTAATAAAATGCACTGTTCCACGCTCAATAGCTAAACTTAATACTCATCTTTGTATCGATTAAGTATAACAATACGGAGTTAAATCGTAACCTCCTCTCATTCTCATATCTGATAGAGTTGTTCATCAAAATCAAACGCCCTACCCAAGTCCTACCTGTTAAAACAGGCCCACATCAACCCCCGTCTTTTTTGGGTGGGTTCTCTACTTGCCCGTTTCCTTTGACATTAAAACGACAAAATTAATATCGCTTTTATTAGATTAAAATAAAAATTAATAATAAGATAAACGTCCTTAGCCCCACATATAATATTATTGACGCCAAGTTGGTGACCAAAACCATATAGGATAGATCGGTGATGATCCACACGAAACCACCATCACCAACACGATACCGGTGAAGACCCACGTCATAAAACCATCAGCGTTGAGCACCCATCCACACACAACCCTCACCTTCATGACTAAGTGATGAAGAAAGGAATCCCGATTGTAGAAATGCCGAAGATCCGACGCACACAACATGATTGGCCAAAAAGCTGGCACCTCTCATCCATCCCATTGGCCCATGTTGTCACCACCATCACCAATGATCATCATCATGGGACCTAGAGCTCTGTCTCCGGGGTTTGGGGTGTTGGGAATGATGTCCAAAAAGTATGAGATGTAATAAAAGATATAATTATTTATTTAATAAAAGAGAAATTTCATTATTTATTTGCATGTGTTATTGAATATATTATGAATATTATTGAAAATTTCACGATTATTTATGTGATTTTAAATATTATATATGACTGTTATATACTACAGGATAATATTTAAAAATAGTACTTTAAACTACCCACAAATGAAAAACTAACCATAGATAACTATGCGAAGTAGAAAATTAACATGAACAACTTGCATTCATGTGATAAATATAAATTTATCCCAATGGAGGAATGTCTTCTGGCCCTTATGGCAAAATCACCTAATGCAGAAAAAAAAAAGAATTAAAGTAAATATGATTTACTGATTCTTGAAAACATGCTTAGTAAAGAATGATTTTTCGTCCTGGATAGTTAATTAACCATGTTTGTTGTTCCTTATAAAATTCCAGCTCTTATAGAAAACTTACCGATGGTGACTATACTATGAAAGTAGAGCAATGACGCCAGGGTATCGACAAAAACAATGGGAAAAGTTAGATTTCAGTTTGAAAATAATAAATATCCAGTTTTGAACCATGTTTATTTCCTTCTAGACATAAAGAGATATTTGATTTATGTATCCAAATTATTTGAACAATCTTACAGAGTTAATTTTTAATAATAATCTAGTCCACATTTCCCGAAATGGTTCTGATATTTGTTAAGAAAATTTAGAAAATGGTTTATATTTTGTTAAACCTATGTCTGACTCACTGCTCCATGTTAAAATGTTCATAGTTGTTGAACCTAAAAATAAAAAGCAAAAGATTTTTCATGAAAAAAAATATATCTATGGCATCCTAGACTTAGTCGTATTAACCTAAATAGAATTGGAAGACTAGTAAAAGATGGTCCTTTGAGTGAACTAAAATTTAGTGAGCTTATTGTCTATGAATCCTGTCTAGAAGGTAAGATGACTAGGAGACCTTTCTCAACCAAAAGTGAGAGAGCCAAAGAATCCCTTGAGTTGATACATTCCAATGGGTATAGACCGCTAAATGTTCAAGTCAAAATGAGGTTACGACTACTTCATCACTTTCATCGACGATTATTTGAGATATGGTTATGTTTACTTGATACAAAGGAAATCTAAAACTTTTGGAAAGTTTAGAAATTTCAGGCTGAAGTTGAAAAATAATTAGGCAAACTAGTTAAGATGCCACGATCAGATTGTGGTAGTGAATATCTGGACACAAAATTCAAGGACTTCTTGACTAAAGAAGGAAACCTGTTACAGTTGACAAAACCTAGAACACCACAGCAAAATGACGTTATCGAAAGGAGAAATGTGGACTCTTTGTACCTCGTATGCAATGTTTTCTCCACCATTGGAGTTAAGAGTTGTGAGGAAGATTCAAGAGCTGATTCCTTTCCGTGATTGTTGAACCATTCAGAAATTTTTTCTATTACTGCATCCATCAATAGTGTTAAGGGATATGCTCTTGCCTTCCTCAACACGGCATTAATGGACTCGGCGCCATTAGTAGTCAAGATGTTGTAGCAAGAACCTGTGAAGTAACACCTAGTCCATTTTCTAACACCGACATTATCTTAAGATACTTAGCAGCGGCCGAATACGAATTCTTTAGGTCATCATAAAGTTTGTTAAACTTAGACACCGTCTATGCTGCAACGACGATCATGAACTTTGTTACAATGGTGTCCTGAACCTTCACCTTACCATTTTTTTTGCTTCCCCTAACACGGGATCCTCGATTAACTTGTGTTTTGATGTTCTTTGCTTTAATCGGGGCGGGCGTGTCAATTTGGCTTGGAAACTCTTTCTTTAACATATTTGCAACTAACTCTAAAGTCGCTTATCGATTCTTTTTATCCATCGAACTAGAAGAACAAGTATGGATGTTGTAGTATGTTCCAAGGGAGAAACAATCCGAGTTCATGATCCTTGCCGCTCGTAGTGCCCACTTACAATTTGAGACTGTACATTTTGCTACAAACAACTTCGTTGTTGACCTAACTATTTTATAATCAAAACAATCTTTAAACGAATTATTGATCAATAAATTCTTCACCTCAGTCTTGCTTGCAAATTCTTGACCAATTGCAATTACCATACCATTATCAAAGTTATAAGACATACAAGTGTTGTCGACTGCTAGCGGTTCACAGTGATCCACCTCAACCATATCAAGATGTGGAATCTGTTGGTCTGGGGTTGGGGTAGATGCCGATGTCTCTTGGCAATGGTGCTCCTTAAGTGTAGGCTTTTCTAAACGATTGCCCTCACAACCTGGTGTGGAACCAGCATCATAAAGCTCTGATGCTTTCATGTTAACGTTGAAATACTCGTCTCCAATGATTCCATCATTTTCATTGTTGTACTCTTCATTTTCTCCAACTTTGAGTCCCCCTTTCTCATTTCCTTCACCACATTCATCCTTTTTTATAAGCTCCACGTGTAGCATGCTTCTACGTTGTGATATGGCACAATGGTAAAAAAGATGAAGGGTAGTGTCAAAATCATCTAAGATGAATTTAGGCCCCGAAGTTTATGAAGATAAAGAAATGTAACTTAACATCAAATTTATACTATTTTGATTCATAGAAAGCCTTTCAAATATGTTGTCAACAATCTCAGAAAACTTCACTTTAAATGGATTATTCAATAATAATATGCTCTTTATTTCCTCATTCCTCAAAAGCCATTCACAAGATCCATTATTTTTTTCTTCTACTCCCCATCATATTGAAAATATATGACAATTTCAACCATTTCCCTATAAAAAGTAATAATAGCAATATTATAAAATGTCAAATAATACAAATAAAAAGTGAAGAAAACTGCAAAATTTGAAAAAAAAAATGGACGGGTAGATAAAAAGACCATTCGGATCTGTCCTCACTGTGTGCGGATTGGTACCGGTCAAAAATTCCAATGAGTATCATGCTCTTCCAGTAAAATTCTAACCGATCAGATTGTTCTTACTGGAAAGCTTGTTCCGACCAGTTTGGAACAACTGGTCAGAACGATTAGCCCGATGCTGTCATCGGTTTCTGCTTCGAGTTTTCAGTTTTGCAACTCAAAATAGTCAAAGAAATGACATGAATCTTGATGATTTTTTAAATAAAACATCTAAACATGAATACCCAACATTTACACAACGATTTAAAGGAAAAAAAGAGAGGATTTGAGATAAGTACCAATCTTGGAGCTTGATTTCTTAAGCTTTTTGGAGATCTTAATAACTCTAGATTTGGCTCTCTTTAATGTCGAAGACAACACCGGATGTGAACGAAAATAGATGCCAGTGATGATGGATGACGACGAGGGGCGTCTCCAGCAGTGGAGGGTGGTGCTGGCGGTTGGCAAAGTGATGGGAGGAGATTTCCTTGGAGAGAGGTTTTGAGAGAAGCTGATGGCCCTTTTTTCTGATTT